GCAAGCAAAATACATCTTCAAGAAAAATGGATGGGAGCTTTTTTCCTTGTGTTGAACATACCTGGTACTAAACAACTTTAATTTGTGACCAGAAATATTCTGCTTTTAAGTGAGGCAGACATGAACCCTATTACAGAAAAACAGATGCCAGTTTTAATGATTAATACCCAGCTGGTAGTTACCTATGGAAAAATAAATTCCAGCATCTCACCCTGTGCAAATATTGCTTCATATGTCTAGGTCTGTAAATGAGAGATTAACAGAAGCTTCACATCAGATCCTGCAGATTTTAGCTAGATACAAGAAAGCTTATTAAAATTATTAAAAGATACTTTAATTAAACATATTATTAAAATATACTTTTGGTGCATGACGAAACAAAAGTAAGAAACAAACAATGCAAACCTTAAGCAAATAAAAGGACTACAGATTTAATACAACCATGAGAAAGGTGGAGATGAATTATTGCAAATGTTTGGCAACAGGTGCCAGAGCATATCTCAGCTGTGCTCTGCTTTAGCATACCACTGGATAGATGTGTGTGACATTGCACAGTTACACTTTTGGATTTCATTCCCAAATAAATATTTGTTCCAGGGGGAATTATTATATTAGATACCATTAAAAGGTCAGACCAGAGGGGAAAATATTTTGAATAGTATACTGAATGTTTTTTGAGTAATTCACTGGAGCTGGTCCAAGATGGCATCTGTATGCACTGATGGCGCTACACACATGCAAGGAAAGGACTCATCGGTCCGAGTAGAAAAAAAGAAATACACCCAAATTCACCACTACCAACTACATAAGTTGTGAGCAGTAGCGGATGAGTACAATATGTACAGAGTACGGAGACCTGGTGATGCACAGCATGGTTAGATGGGTGTCACACAGCAAAGTACCCAAGTGATTTTTGAGTCTCATTTCTTAGATTTCAAAATTCGTTAAAAACCAAGGAAGGAGGACGGTACAGTCAAAGAATCCAAAGTGAGTAATTGAGCTAGCATTTATAACTGACATTTATTGTCAGTACTTCAGTTTAAAACAAACTTCCTGGTAACATGCTACACCACCATGATGGCAATTCAAAACAACATCATGGCACTGTTTTTACCCGACAGCTTCCGAAAACCCACGGCCATCTTAAAAGATCCTAACTGTTAAAACACTTAAATTACACCTAATCAGTAAAGATACTGGAGGAAATGAGGGCAGGATATGAGTCTATATTCGAGAACATGATAGATGATAGATCACAGACTTGCAATGCCGTTTCATCTTCACCGAGAACCTGTTCTACATGTCTGCTTTATCTCCCATCTGTTATTGCAGATGTAGGTATACTGAACACCATAAAACTGGAGAGTGAAATTGTCAGACAAATGCGGCCTGAACTGGAGTTAGGTGTTCATAATCCCTAGAACATGGTTCCAAACACAGAATACCCAAATATCAAACACTTTGTGCAAAAAAGGCTGTTCTTCTTTGTCAGCACCTACATGTTAAGCAATGTATTCAAGTACAAACTTTGTAGGGAAAAATAGATCTGACATTTGGGCTGCAACACACTGCCATTACAAATAATTTATAAAAAGGTAAAGGAGCATCAGACATTCCATTCACTCAACTTTTAAATTAAGTTTTGAAATCTCACGTATTATATTTTATTAGTATTATCTATATTAATAATAGAATAAGATTATACAATAATATTATTTTCTATGTTCCGATATATTATTTTACTTTAAAAAAACATACAATATCTAAAGTACTGTACTACTTTAGGAATATGAAAGTGGCTTCACATTACATTTTTGTTTTCCAAAATCATGATTATAATGTTTCATTGCACATAAAAACGAGTTAATCTACCTTTTGCAAAACCTAATTAGATTGTTTTCTTTTGCCGGCTGTAAGGCAGTTATCACACTGTTGTCATATTGTGAACTCCGACATTCTCTAAAGAACAGTGGAGAAAAAGTAAAAATCAATAGTTGCAGCATGTTTATCACAGAGTTCTTCTTTAAGGATATATGTGCTACATAGACGGTCACTGTAGTGATGTGGTGGTTAGCATTACCGGTCCAACAGATCCACAGATGACGCAATCTCCATTGCCACACACACGGCCCTATCCCATCTGGACAAAAAGAACACATACACAAGACTACTATTCATCGACTTCAGCTCAGCTTTTAACACTATCATCCCAGAGAAACTAGTCAAGAAACTCAGTGCACTGGGTCTCAACACCACCCTCTGCAACTGGATTCGGGACTTTCTGACAGGCAGACCTCAGGCTGTCAGGCTTGGAAACCACATCTACGGCACACTAACTCTGAACACTGGGGTCCCCCAGGGGTGTGTGCTTAGTCCATTGCTCTACTCCCTCTATACCCACGACTGTAAGGCCAAACACAACACCAACTCCATCATCAAGTTTGCCGATGACACCACAGTTGTAGGTCTGATCACAGACAATGATGAGAGGGCCTACAGGGAGGAGGTCAATCTCCTTACAACATGGTGTGATGACAACAACCTCACCCTCAACGTCAGCAAAACCAAGGAGCTGATCGTTGATTTCAGGAAACTGCAAACTGGACATGCCCCTATCCACATCAACGGGACTGAAGTGGAAAGGGTCAGTAACTTTAAATTCTTGGTGTCCATATCACCGAGGACCTCACATGGTCTCTCAACACCACCCGTCTGATCAAGAAAGCGCAACAGCGCCTGTACTTCCTAAGACGGTTGAAGAAGGCTAAGATATGTCCCCAGACCCTTACTAACTTTTACAGATGCACTACAGAAAGCATACCGACAGGTTGCATCACAGTGTGGTATGGCAACTGCAGTGCTGCTGACCGCAAAGCCCTACAGCGGGTGGTGAAAACTGCCCAGTCCATCACTGGGGTTACCCTCCCATCTATACAGGACATTTATGACAGACGGTGCTCGAGGAAAGCTCTAAGCATAATCGAAGATCCCACACACCCCAGCTACAGACTTTATGATCTGCTACCATCTGGAAAACAGTACCGGAGCATTCGGGCCTGGACTACAGACTCAGAGACAGTTTTTACCCCCGCACTGTTAAACTGTTAAACTCCCAGCCTCTCTCACTCTCACCTCTCACCTATGATCTGAACCTCACAGTGCCATATTCCTTTCTTTCTTTCCAAAAACCCAAACACACATTGAAAATCTACCTCTACCATACATGTCAAAAGCTCACTCCCCATAATTCCTATCCCTTTATTTTTATTCTGTTGATGCATATCTTTGCACATAACCTATTACCTTTTTGTTGTTTTGCACATTGCCTGTTGTTGTTTTTTGCACATTGCCTGTTGTCTCTGTCTTTCTTTTGCTACACAATTGTATTGTTGTTGTTGTTTTTTCGCTTTGTACTACTGATGACCAAGAGCTAGCTAAATAGCATTTCGTTATACCATATACCATGTATATGAGTGTAATGACAATAAACCTGAACTTGAACTTGAGCATTGTGGCATCACAATCCCAGAATCCTGGGTTTGACTCCACCCTAGACACCTGACTGTGTGTAGTATGCTCACCCTTCAAAAAGTGGTATCAAAAAGTATGCTACTGTTCACATGCCATTCTGGAAAACAGACTACTAGGAGGCTGACTTTTCAGAGTTTTAGCTGGACTAGTATGTGCTCAAAAACAGGAAAAGCACATCAGCTCTTTCAGTGCAGTATCCTACTGTACTACTGCCAAGAACAAGACACGTTAATACTGCCTGTTAGTGTTGATCCTGCATTCACAAAACATGACTTTACAGCTCAGCACAAAATGACCCTGTGCACACAGACAATTCGTGTATATGGAATGTGCATAGACAATGTGCACAAAGACAGAACAGCCAGATGATGACATGGATCATGGAGCAGGACTGGCACACCTGGCAATCCTCTTCAGAAACACACAGTGGATGTTAAGGAGACATTTGAAAGCCTAACTAAACGCACATATTTGGCGGCAAGAAACGAAACTTTTGTTGGCATTTGTCCTGTACCTCATATTATAAAATTGCCCATAACAAAAAAGGACTGAATTACAATACAGTAATACTTTATTGCACAAATATGAAAATTAAACAAATGGATAAAACTGTCCTTCTGTGTGATAGTTATCTTACTGAACATTTACTAATCCTAGAAAATGGTATTTAATTCCCGTAAATCAAACAATTGAAGATAAGAGCCGTGGCAGTCTGGAAACCCCTTTTCAGGAATAAAGAGATTTCTGATAACTGACCAATCCAATCCTTTGGTCTACATCTCTATAGATGTCTGTACGACTGCTGTATTTACTATTTTTTATACTAGACCAAGTTATTGAAAATGAGATCAATTCAGCTGCGAAATGTCCTACTTACTACACGTTTTAATGACTTAATGAATCCATGAGCATTTACACAAGAACATGAAGGAAATACGAAAAAATGTTCATTCGAAACAAGAATACTGAAAAAATACTTTTGTTAATACAATATTAAGAAAGGCACAATAGTTGTAGACGGTGTAATCTACACCTGAAGAATTAAACATAATATACGCTAAATAATCACGTCAAGCGATATTCTATTTAGCTCTAGTTCACCACGAGCGGCTTCAAACACGAAAGATAATGATGATGTATTTTGATACGTTTTGGTTTGTAATATCCTCAGCTAGCTAGGTATCAGTTTTGACTGTAAAATAAATATTACTCTCCAATGTAGTACACACATTCATCTTAAGTCTTTCAAATAAAAATATGTGCCACTTACCAAAGCAGTTTCTAAAATTTCCACGATTCCTACAAAATAATTCGGAATTATTTGAGAATCAAGTAACGGTTCCACCAAATAATAGCACCCCAGACACGTATCTATTGTTTGCTTACCGCACGAATAATTGAATGCATCGCAATACCTTCTTTTTTAAAATGAATGCAGCTTGTAAAAATCTTATGTTACAAAGACTTACCTGTACAAAAACCGCCCCTTACGGGTTGCAGAAACAAAGATGCATTGTTTTTGGTTGTATTTGTTTTACAAACACTGCACAGAATACATGCTTTTGCTTCTCCAAAAATCGCACCACAAAAACCACCGATGTAGCACAATGCCGACAGTCATTGTTAGTTTTTTAACCTTCCATTTCAACCCGTCCTGAAAAGTAGGCGGGGACAGCTGGAGTAAGACTGCAAAGCCTGAGCTCGTTACCACTGCATAATAGCTGGCATTTCTATCAAGGCTGTAGTTTTAAAGAAAGGCGACTGTAGGCCGACAGTGGGGGGAAAAATCCAGGGCAACTTCCTGGATCATTTCCTTGCTTGTCTGAATTTGTGTAATAAATGATCAGCTGGTATTTGTCGCTATTGATTGGAACGATAATTTGAATGGCACTCTTTTTATTTTGTTATGCAAATTGAAGGGTAAAAAAAGCTATGGAAAGACTACGTTTGCTGCGTTATTATAACTACTGTTAGATAAAACGAAGTGATCCTTGACTTTCTTCGTCCGTTTCAATTTGTTTTCCTTTTTATCTCAGGGAATGATACAACAAGAATTAAAATCTTAAAGGAATTTTTAAACACTTGGTGCGCCGTTTATATCTTACGCGGTGTTTTTTTCTGTTGTGCAGTAGCAAATTTAAAGATAGTTTTATTAGGTTACTGTCAGTTTTTTAAATTTTAAAATTTTGCACATGGCTAATTTAAATTTACTTAATTTCTCCACTAGAGATCGAATTAACAGAAAATTGGACCGGGTTACAATAACTTGTATGTATTTGTCTCTCATACATAACTGTTCCACAAGATGCTAAAGAACAGGGGTATCTCCATCTCATGTTTCAACCATGGTAATTTTATGGGTCGTCTGTTCATACAGATCGGCATTATTCAAGCCATCATTTCAATTAAGAGATTTCTGATTATGGAAGGCCGAAAGGTACTCGGATTTTGGTCCCAGATAATTACTGAGGTTTATATATCACTGGTTTAATTGATCACAATGAAATTGTTCCAAGGCTTTACAAATCAACGGTTTAATGAGAATCTTGATATATGAAGGTTTTCCCTAGACAGGGTTGGATTTGTCTTTGATAGATTAAGAAAAATCTGGTGTAAAGCAGATAGAAAAGGGAGTATAAATAACTTCCACAGTGCAGTATTGCATAGATTCATCACCTTTAGGAGCGGGGATAAGGAAGAGGTCAAGCGTGTACAGAGGGAACTAAAGCAGAAGTTAAGAGTGAGCAAGGACGCCTACAGGAGGATCAAGGTAAGGGACGTATGGAGCAGCATGAGAGAGATCACTGGCTTCAAACAGGCTGGGGGTGCAACAGAGGGGAACCTGATGATGGCCAATGAGTTGAACCAGTTTTTTAACAGGTTTGATTCAGGGCCATCTGTGGCTCAACACCCATCCCCCCACAGCCAAACGCTCCCTAACCCTTCACAGCTGCAACTGCCCAACACCTCCTCCATCCCCCCACAAACATGGCCGCCTACAGCTAGAACCCCCGACAGCTACTCACCCCCCCATCCCCCCAGCTGCCACTCTCCAACACCTCCGCCATTAACACCTCCAGAACTGAAGGCGCTATGAGCACCGTCCCCCAGGCCAGGCTGACCATCACAGCTGACCAGGTGAAGAGGGAGCTGAAGAGGCTGCACCAGGGTAAGGCCACAGGACCAGATAGCATCTGTCCCAGAGTTCTGAGGGCTTGTGCTGATCAGCTGAGCGGAGTGCTCCAGCGACTGTTCAACCTGAGCCTGCACTTGGAGAAAGTCCCTGTACTCTGGAAGACATCATGCCTGATCCCGGTAACAAAGAAAGGGCGCCCCTCCATCCTCAATGACTACAGACCAGTTGCACTGACTTCTCACGTCATGAAGACACTGGAGAGGCTGGTCTTATTGCACCTGAGACCCCTGGTTAGCTCATCACTGGACACCCTACAGTTCGCCTACCAGCCCAGTGTTGGTGTGGAGGGTGCAATCATCTACATGCTGCAAAGGGCCTACTAACACCTGGACGAGGCTGGCAACACCGTAAGGATTATGTTTTTCAACATCTCCAGTCCCTTCAAAACTATCCAGCCCTTACTTCTAAGGAGGAAGCTGGAGGAGATGCAAGTCGATGCCTCCATGATCTTGTGGATCACTGACTACCTGACAGGCAAACCACAGTCTGTGAGACTTCAGAACTGTGTGTCTGAACAGGTAGTACAGTAAGTAACACAGGGGCTCCTCAGGGGACGGTTCTTTCTCCGTTCCTCTTCACCCTCTATACCTCGGACTTTAAATACAACTCAAAGTCATGCCACCTGCAGAAGTTC